TGTGCTTAAATTTCCTTATTTTACAGAATAGAGATAGCAAGTGTCTGCCTCTCTCAGTCCCAGAGACAGAAAATGCTATCACTGCATCTGCTAGCACTGTTACTGTGTATTTGATGGTTGAATCTATCCTGTATTTCTTTTTTTTTCTTAGTTTTTTTTTTTTTTTTAATCAGTACCTGGGATCGAACTCATGACTGCCTGCTTGCGAGGCAGTGCTTATGCCGCTGAGCTAAATCCCCAGCCCTATCCTGTGTTTCTTTATGCTCTTTTTCCCCTTGGTACCACACATATATATTCAGGGGTACTTTTGGAAGGGAAATGTAGACATATTTTGAATGACAGTGAGGAAACAAGAGATGAGATGATTTGACAGCATTCCTGCTTTAGGATGTTCTTTACATTATTCCTTCCATCCCACTTTTATTTATGGATGGTACTTATAATTTAAGGCTTAGCATTAAGAGCATGTAACTTGTGCTTTATTTTCATTGTCTGTTTTTTTTTTTTAGATGATGATTTGTGCCATACATTTGGGATATATTCATTATTTATGTATGAGTTTTCTGGTTGAACTAGGCTTAATTAGGTCCTCTTTTCTTTAAAAACTTGGAAACTATTTTGTTTTTCCTAGGTTGTAAGGCAGGAACATGTTTGAAAATGAAATAAATCTCTTGGGATTTAATCTGGCATCCCCTCAAGTCTTATTAAATAAGAGCTTTAAAAGCATCTTGCTGAGTGTGCTTTAACATTATTGTTCAAATGTTTCAAGTTATAGGCACAGACATTTTTAAAAAGTTAAAATTTTTTTCAAACATGTAGTTTTGAAGTAGCAATGTGCTTTTCTACTTTAAAGGACTAAAAAACAGGAATGGTGAGCTTAAGGGAGTCATGTTCAAATATTGTTTCTTTGAGATTTTTGTTATAGATCAGGTTTAGTTGGAAATAGTGCTGAACTTGACTTATGCCTCCTTGTCTGGGAGGAGAGGGCAAGGCTTTTAGCTGTATATAAAGTGACTGGGCAGCAGTTGTCTCTTTCTGGTAGATAAGTACAAAGGAGATCTTCAGATTATTTTTGGCCCTCCTCTCATCTCCTTCTCCAGCAGAGCAGATTTTGCCTTTAATCTGTCTTGTTCTCCACTCTTGTCATTGTACAGTCAGCATACAGAAGAACCAAAGTTAAATCTAGAGAAATTGGCTATATGGATTCTTAAAGACTATAGATACCGTGACATATATGGCAACCAGTCTTCCATGGTCAAGGTAGAGATAATACAAAAGTATTGTCCTTTTAATTCACAATAATGTAAGAGTGAGGCAGTAGAAATTCTCAGGTGATTTTTCTAGACAGCCATGGCAGTGTGAGCAGAGCTCATCCTCAGAGTCTGCCAGCCCAGTGACTACCTATGGATGTGGACATGGTAAAGACCTGCACAGTGTCTCCTACTAATGTTGTCCCTTTGTCCTGAGTCACTGCAGTGCTTCTAGTCTATCAGCGTTTTTCCCCCCACAGGGACTACTATATTTTCCTAGAATCGAAGCTTACTAAATATAAAAATATTTCTAAGTTTCTTTTCTGCTTTGGAGATACAAACCGCAAAATAACTCAAAAAACTATCTTTATACATTGGAAAACAGAGCTTTGCACAAAATCACATGACTTTTGGCTGAGCTGTAACTAATCCTGGGTCTTGGCTTGTGCAAATGAATGTTTCTGTCTTTGACTCATGCTGTTTTTGGTTATCCACTCAATTAGCAGATGTAATTGAAGAGATTCTAATTAGTTTGGTTTCTAAAGGGTTTTGTGGTTAGTGTCAGATTGGCCATGAGGTTGGTGTTTTCCCCTTAGCTTTTGAGTTGTGGCCAAGTTTTGTCAGTTGTTTCAGAGTCTTGAAGTCATGGCAAGTTTATTTGAATGTTTGTCTAATAAATATGCCTTTGTAGTGTAAATTAGAGAATTGTTACTATTATATGCCAAATGTATATAGGCATTAGATGCAGAGCAGTTATGGCCAGTATAGTGGTGACATTCCAGCTGTCACCATCATTGTGTATTTTTTCTAGGCCTGTGAGCTTTGAGACTACTTCCCTATATAATTGAGGAGGGGTTAGGAGTACTTTGGCAACCCAAGCTTCCCAAGAAGCAGATGTTAGGGATGTAGGGGGCTGATTGGCCACCCCATGAACTTGGCAGTTGGATGAATTGGCTCTGCCAGTTCCTGAGCATAAGAAGCTTGGAGATGTGAAGCACCCTTAGATCTGTGAGCTAATTGTTGGTGCCTTTAGGGAGACCTCTCAAGGAATTATCTAGATGGAATTGAATTTCTTTTTACTGGAAAGAGAGCTTTTAGTTGCTAAAAGGAAGCCTGGAATTGACTCTTAGACTTCAGGACTTGGTGATATCCCTGAGGGATCTAGAAATGGAGCTTCAATAGAAAGAAAGATCACTAAAAGGTATACCATTGTTTTGCTTTGTATTTACTTCTCTAAAGTGGGATCTCTAAGGACCCTGTATTCTTGAGACAGCCCACAAATAGAGAATTAGGACTCACTTTTTCTTATTGCCTCATTTTACTGAGCAATAGTTCTCTTGAATAAAGTTGAACTTGGTCAGGAAATAGGTATTGCTTTCCAAAGCTCAGTATTTACTTGAGTGTAAGAAAAGTTTTCATGTAACTTACGTATATTTTTTTGTACTTTGATGAGAAATTTAAAAATTTTCAGAATTATTTATGGCAGATTCCTATTATATATCAAAATATACATGATGAATGTACCTCACGGATTCTAAAATATTGTATTTTTGATATATTGAAACATTGAAAGAAAGAGAATCTTTTGTTTAGTTTTAAATTCTCAGGTGTTTTATATTTTCTACCCTGTTAATACAAAAGTGCTAGGATACTTGATTGTCTGAAAATTTAAAGAATGATTTGTGAAATTACTTTATCCAAAATTTGATTTAGAAGTTGACAATCTCTTATGAAGAATTAAAATGTAATTACTTCTAGGTCATAATATTTAGATTACACACTGTGTTTGGTTTTCCATTCTTTCACTTTCATCAACTACACATAAAAGATAAAAAGAAAATGTTAGGTAAACACACACCACATGAAAAGCAGAGACATTCCCATTCCTAAGATGCTTATTTATCTTTTCACATTTTCTAGTAGAAAATGTCAGTTTCTACGTACATAATGTATATAGAATTATGGCAGTTTTTATATATGTAACTTATTGTGGAGACAGGTCTTGAATTACTTGCCTGGCAGTCTTTTGCTTTTTTTTTTTTTAATTCAGAGAGAAGAAATATTAGAAAAAACTTTTGTTAGGGTGGTGAATTCCTTCTGTTAAGGGGGAATTTGAATCAGAGTGAGCTTCTGTTACCTTCTGACCTCTGTTGGCAGCTGGCTGGCCAGGTGTCCGTGAGGGAAGGCAAGAGTGCTGAGGGCAGAGGGAAAGTGCAAGTGAGAGTATGTGGACTGCATGAATGGAATCAGTAGAAGATGTGTGTGTAATTATGCAAGGGATGTACTCGTTAGGCTAACAAGATAAATCAGAGACAGGAGAATCCACAGGGCCATCTACAGGATCAGAGGTGAAAGAATCCACAATGGCTGTTGGTGCACTGGAGAATTTGAGGTCCATTAGTGGCTCAGCCCAAGGAGATGGAAGGTGCAGAAGCCGGATAAAGGATCAGCACCATTCTGAGGCTGAAGGCAGAGTGGCTAGTGCAAATCCAAGTTGGAAGACTGAAGGAAGTAGACCCCAAAATCCAAAGGTGTTGGAGCTCATTCAAAATGGGAGCACTTCCTTCCTTCTTTTCTTTTCTCTGGTAGCCATCCTGGCTACAAGTCTGTTGGTTGATGCCGCTCACATGGGGGGTGGGTTTTCCTGCTTCAGTTTACCAGTTTACATGCTGATGATCCACAGACATACCCAGAACTGTTCCTCACTGATCTATTAGTTTCTTAAGCCATTTAAGTTGACATATCTTAAATCAGTGGTCACAGCATATATATATCCACAAACAGAATGGACAGCAACTTTTCTTTACAGTGTGTTGGAGGTCACCTTACTTTATTATTTTAAAAAAATTTTTATTTTAAAGAGAATAAAACTAAACAGAATAAAACCAATCAAGACAAAACAGTGAGAGTGATAAATAGGACTTTAAAACAAGATTAAAAGAAAATCAGTACCATAATGCCTTTTGTTATCTTCAAGTAGTAGCTGCCCATACCATTGGACGTAATAAAATCAAACAAAACAGAGCAGGATAAAACCAATCAAAGCAAAATAATGGAAGTGATATTGGACTTCAGAACAAAATAATAGGAAATCAATCAAGGTGGTCATTGTACAGTAGAAATGAGGATCAAGAGGGTACTTTGGTGCCTCCTCGTGTGTCTGTCTAGATAGATTTCCCATGAGTTCTGGTACCTCACTCACCCTGCTGTACTCCCTGCAGTAGGTGTTTGTGTCCTTGTCCTTAGCTTTTCTTTTCTGAAATAGTGATTTTTTGTTTGTTTTGGTTTGGGATCTGAAAAGAGAAACCAAAGGATGATGGTAGTCGGAGACTGAAATTTTGTGAGGGATTTTGATGCCCATTAGATCACTAGTGAATCCTATAGGTGGATTATTAGCTCTGTCGTACTAGAGAGTTTTTTTAGTCAAGGGTGATTAAAAAAAAGTATACTGTTTAAAAATCCAAGTTGGAAGGATCCATGAAAAGCGTGTCTGCTTCCAGGAATGTTTTTGCTCTTTTCCCATCAGTTCCATTCACACTTTTAAAAATAAACAATAGATTTGATGCCTTAGTAACTGTATTAGTGTTTATTTACAAAATGGGTGCTTACTTTAGGCAATAAAACTTCTTTCCTTTTTGGTCATTTTATGTGCTGTAGCTTATTGGCATAAATAAAAAGTGGATCCTACTTGTGCTCTAGTAACTGCTTACATTTTAATTTAAGTAATATATCTTTGCATTTTTCTTAAAGGTAGTGTCTTCCCCAGCAGATGTAGCCGAAAAGGCTGACAGAATTATTACAATGCTGCCCACTAGTATCAATTCATTGGAAGCTTACACTGGAGCAAATGGAATTCTGAAGTATGTATTTCTTAAATGTGAATTGTTTTGTTATGATGATTCATGAATTTCACATTGGTTAGAACTATTAGGAAACTACAATTAAGTTTGTTTAATCCTTCTGTACTGTTTTATTTCATAACGGGAGTAGTGTGTTATTGTCAAGAGTTTACTGTATTTTTTCACTGAAGTCAAATATGTGATTTTTGGGAATAGGTGTTTTTGGTTTGGTTTCTTTTCTTTTCTTTTCTTTTTTTTTTTTTTAAACTCTTGCTTTAAACTTACCCTTTCATTGGTAATATGTTTAAGGGACCTTTAAAACCTGTGTTTTAAACTGTACAACTAGTAAAACCAGTTTTCTTACAGTTTATAGAAATTCAGAGAAAAGTTTCTATGAAAAATAAAACCAAACGTTGGAAAGAACACTGTTATTTAACAGTTTATTATACAATAAAAAGTTACTATATGTCCTCTGGGTTAGTACACTGGTGGTAGGAACTTTAGGAAGTTGGAATTAAAGGTTAGTAGTAGCTCTTTAAATTAAATACGATTTACATCAGGATTTCCCTGCCAGTGCCTAGCGTCCCTGACTCTGCAAACCTGTTGGTTAATTGCTGCTCATTGCCAAACTCTCGTGGTTAGGTTAGGATGACAGTTCTTGAATTCTCAACTTAGTTTTCTGGTGTTACAGGTTCTTATTCTAGGAACTTATGTTGTTACTATAATAAATTCTAACTTAGAAGTTCTAACTTATTTTGTTGTTGAATTTCAGCAGAGAACTAAGATAAGCTGTTAGCTTTGTAGACATATAAAGGGCTAGAAAAGAAGATTTTAACTTTAGGAAACTATATACATGAAAATTTGAAGTTTCCCAAAACTTCAAATTTCCCAAATTTGAAGTTTTGGGAAATTGAATTGCTTTGGAAAACTAACAAACTTGGAAGCAAAAGACACTTGGATATTAGACAGAAAACTGATAAGATAAATGTTTAGGTTTCAGGGAGGGTTGGAAGGTACTCATTTTGAATGGAACCACCAGGCCCACATTGTGTGTGGTCCAGAGGCATCTTAGCTAACTCACTGCCGTAACCTGTTTCAGTTAGGGTCCTGCTTTGCCTCTCAGGGAAAGTTATTAAAAAGATGGAGATACAACCCTACATTTATTAATATTCTTTACTTTGGAGGATGATGGCCTGCTACCAGATCGATTTTCTAATTTTCCAATTTTGAAAAGTTTGGCTTACCTTGGAACTATATAATTTGCTTTTCATGGATGGTTCTTTATTCTGTTTTAGGATTATTTCCCCCTATCCAGTACATATGTAAAGTTTTGATAATGGTGTTTCATTTATTTGAAGACTTAAGATTTTAAAAATATTAAGATATAGAAGGCTGATAAATTTTTAATTTTTAGCTTATGTATAAAGTGAAACCTACACACTGATGTAATCTCTAAGAGTTTGCTGTGTCTCTTCTATGAGCTATTTCCAAGCTTTTAATTTGAACTAGAACAATTTATGTCTAAAATTATTTAAATCATTTTCTGTGCTCTGTGTTCCTATAGAAAGCTTTTATTTTTTGCTAGTTTTGCTCATGACTTATTTTCTTTTTCTCTTTCAATATTTATATTTAACTTATACTTATTGAGTTCTAATTTTCTAGTCATGATTCTATGGCCTTTGGGTTAGTAATCTGTAATGAAAACTTTGGGAAATTTGAATTAAAATTTGCCATTGCCCTTTTTAAAAAATTATGACTTAGGTCACTTTCCTAGCTGGTAAAAATAAACACTGCCTTATAGATAATAAGGGAACTATGTAGAATATATACTGTGCAAGCAGATACCTAAATTTCAATTGCTTATGTTTATTTTGCCTTATGAAAATTACATGGATATGTAAAATTTGCAATATAGCTTGTTAAAGACAAATAAATTACTTTTTAAAAGACTCAGTGACTTTACAAACAAAAATTTAAATCCTATCAAATACCCTTTTAAAGTTAATAGGTATTTTAAATTGCTTACATTTTAGCTTCACCTGTATTATTATGTTAGTGTGTATTTTACCTGAAACTGGAATTTATACCGTGTAGCTTATCAGGGTTTTTTTGTTGCTGTTTATTTGGAAGAGTTTGGGTTACTTTTTTTTGTCTTTTTCCTTTTTATTGGTACCAGGGATCGAACTCACGACTGCCTGCTTGCAAGGCAGGTGTTTACGCCGCTGAGCTAAATCCCCAGCCCCGAGTTTGGGTTACTTTGAACTATAACTGATCTGAAAACAAATATGAGATTTTTGGACTAGTTCTAGCTAATAATATTTTTAGTACTAAACCAAAGACCTCCCGGATATCTGGCAGCTCTTGGCTGATTCTGATTGTATAAATAATTGCACAGAATGTTTATTCATAACTGTAAACTATAAGCATTTTTATTTATTTACTTAGAAAAGTGAAGAAAGGCTCATTGTTAATAGATTCCAGTACCATTGATCCTGCAGTTTCAAAAGAACTGGCCAAAGAAGTTGAGAAAATGGGAGCAGTTTTCATGGATGCTCCTGTTTCTGGTGGTAAGTAGTAGATAAAATGTATGCACACCTGCATCTGTTTGTTAAGAGCAATAGTCATGATTTTGTGGCCACTCAAAATATTCCCAGTTATTTTTAGATCGGTTACATTGTTCTCAATCTCTCTTTAAAAATTATACCTATTGATAGTTCTAAATTCATATGTTAAGATATTACAACTCTGAAGCATTGTGAATATTTGTCCCAATTACTGTGAGTAGAGATAGGTCAGTTCTTCCTTTTTTTTTTTTTTTTTTTTTTTTTTTTTGGTGGCGATGGGGGGCTGGGAGTGGAGTTGTACTGGGAATCAAGTTCAGGACCTTGTACTTGCCAGGGAGGTACTACACTGCTGAGTTATATTGCCAGCCCCAATTCTTACAAGTTTTAACTTTTAAAGACTAATTAGCTTGAGCAATCCTGTAACTATTAAAGGAGAAGTGGTGAAAAGGAAAAGGAGAAAAAAAAAATTCCACAGTGGAAACATGATGTTTAGATGGTTTTACAGATAACTGTTACCAAAATTTTAAGGAACAGAGCATCCAAATTTTATGCATCCTTTTCCAGAAAATAAGGCAATACAACTCAACTCACTCTACAAGAGCTATGGAAGTCCGATGTTTACATGAGACAGAAATATTAGGAGAAAGGAAAATTATATGTAGATCTGTTTCCATCATGAATATGGAAGTAAAAACTTGAGAAAAAATATAGTAGCCAACATTCAAACATGAATAAGATTTATCAGATCCTACAACCAAGTTTGGTTTAGGCCATATGTACAGAAAGGGCTTCATTTTAGAAAATCAGTAAATATAGTTCATCACATAACATACTTAAAATCATATAATCATCTCTGTTAGAACAGATCTTAGAGGTCTACTAATGAAATTTTAAAAACTTATTGTATCTAATAGTAGCAAGCTCAGGGTGTTTTGGAATGGTAGGATGATAAGTATGATTTTGTATGATTTCCAAATTTTAAAAAATTTCTGTGTAATCAAAAGTATCCTGTGTGTATAGGTATGTGGCAGTGTAGCAGTAGACAACAAGATAAGAAATTTGTTTTGGTTATATTAAAATTGACTGTGGTCTTTGGAGTCAGAAAGCTAAATTTAATAATTTAAGTCTCTTCTTATTTTTTCAGAAAGAATTTGATACTGTTGTAAAGATATATCCCAAGCCATTTTTGAATATAAACAGAACAAGTAATTATTAGCTCTTTTTACTTTTATATTGAATTGGTTAACTAAGGTCTAGGTGTGAGATTTATAATGTGGTTTAGGCACTTGGATCATAAAATACTAGTAAATTTGGTATTGCTGTGGCTTTCTATAGGATAGAATTAATAAATAATAATTTTTTCTTTGAGTGGTTCTACAGTTGTATTAGAAAATTGGTATGGTAAATATGATCTTACTGTGGTTTTTAAACTTAAAAAAATTTAAATTCATTCATAAAAGTTCTGCGTATTTGTGGAGTACCGTGTGATGTTTGAAGATTGAGGTAATCTTCAAGTCAAGGTAAACAAATGATATCCTCAAACATTTTTTCTTTATGGTAAAAACTTTCCAAATCCTTTTTTTCTAGCTTTTTTGAAATATACAGTATGGGATTTTATATCCATAGTTACCCTGTTGTGCAAGAGGACACCAGAATTTATTTCTCCTGTCTAGCTGTAATGTGATATGTGTTCATCATCGACCTTTTGCCCTCCCTACTCCCCAGCCTCTGGTAACCAGCCTACTGTTCTCTATTTCTGTGAGATCAATATTTTTGGGTTCCATATGTGAGAGAGATTATGTAGCATTTGTCTTTCTGTGCCTGAGATATTTCACTTACCATAGTAACCCTCAAGTGAGAGTTCCATGCAATGTTATCATAAATGACAGGATTTTATCCTTTTTATGCTAGAGTAGTGTCTTGGTTACTTTATGCTCATCACTGAGACAAAATCCCTGATGCCCAAGTTGGGAAAGGAAAGATTTATTACAGTTTTTGGAGGTTTCAGTCCACACTCAGTTGGCTCCAAAACAGGCAGGTATGACTGGACCGCAATTCATGGCAGCTGCCAACAGCAAGCTGGAACCAGCAAAGAGCAAGACACAGCTTCTTCCTGCCATTACATCACATCCTGGCTCCACCCCTATGTGGGTGGAGCACTGACACCATCAATCCAAGCACTAGACAATGAACCAATCACAAATACACAATGCAAACTCATGAGGCCTGGGGGACACAGACATAAACCATGACAAGTAGTATTTCATTGTTATATGTATCACGTTTTATCCATCTTCCCTTCTTCTCTCCTTTCTCCCTCTCCCTTCTTCGCTTCCCACTTCTTTCTTTCCAGTCCTGGAGGCTGAACCCAGGGCCTTTGCACTGAGCTCCATCCCCAGGCCTTTTGTATATATTTGGAATGCTCTAACTAAGGTGTTTAGGCTGGGCTTGAACTTGTCGTCTTTCCACCTGAACCTCCTAGAGTGCTGAGATTACGGGCTTGCACCGCCAATACCTGGCTTGATTTATCTTTTTCATTAATTGATGGACATTCAGCTTATTTTCATTTCTTGACTGTTGTAAATAGTGCTGCACTAAAAATGGGCATGCCAGGTGTGGTGGTGCATGCCTGTAATCCTAGCATTTGGGAGACTGAGGCAAGAGAATTGCCTCGAGTTCAAGGCCTGACTGGGCTACATGCTGAGTTTAGGCCCAGTCTCAAAAACAAACAAACAAAAAAATCAAAAACAAACAAAAAAAACCAGTCAACAAACAAAAAAGCACAGAGTGCAGATATTTTTTGACAGACTGATTTTGTGTCCTTTGTATGTATACCTAGTATTGGGATTATGAGATCAAATAGTAGCTTTATTTTAAAATTTTTGAGGAAGCTTTATGCAGTTTTCCATAATGGCTGTATTAATTTACATTTCCACTAACAGTATGTAAGGGCTTCCTTTCCCCCACATCCTCACTAGTGCTTATCTTTTGTTTTTTTGATAATAACTTTTCTAACTGGAATGAGATAGTGTATCATTGTGGTTCGGTTTACATTTTTCTGGTGATCAATAATGTTGAACAGTTCCTTCCTCTCTCCCTCCCTCCCTCCTTTCCTTTCTTTTTTTGTTTTTTCCATGTATTGTTGGCCATTTGTATGTTTTTTAGGAAATCTCTACTTAGCCAGGGTGGTGGTGCACACCTGTGTTCCCAGCACTTGCAAGGTTGAGGCAGGAGGACCACTGCAAGTTCAAGGCCAGCCTGGGCTGCGTAGTGAGTTCGGGAACAGCCTGAACTGCATAGACAGACTCAGTGTCAAAAAACAACACAAAACAAAGCAAACCAATAACCAAAAAAGACAAGAGCAAAAGACGATTTTATTTTTGCTGTGGGGTTGTTTGACTTCTTGTCCAGTGTACGTGTTGCAGATCTTTTCTTCATCCTATAGGTTATCTCTTCAAACTGTTTCTTGTGCTGTGTGATCTTGCTGTTAATTGATCTTTTGTTCAAAGGTGCAGCCTTGAAATCAACATTTTATAATAAAGAATTTTAATTTGATTTTGAAGTGTTATTTTAACTTTAAAAATATAGTGTTGTTAGAAAACTTGGAGATTACCGTTTGTTATTTTTAATTGAACCTATATATATTGATTAAAAGATTTGTGTAGGGTTTATTGGTTGGCTTGTGATCATTCTGACTTAAAAATGACTACTTTCTGAGTTAAAATGTAGGAAATTTCCTACACGTTAGTCTGACTTAAAATTTATTTTTAATTTAACCAGATAAATAAGAAGGATTGGGAAAAGCATAACTTAGATACTCAGTTGGGATTGTTGGAATAAAACTTTTTAAAATTTCCTGTTTTAAAAATACGTTTCGGGGCTGGGGATTTAGCTCAGCGGCATAAACACCTGCCTTGCAAGTTGGCGGTCATGAGTTCGATCCACGGTACCGGTAAAAAGAAAAAAAAATCCGTTTCTCAACAACTCTGTCTTATGCTTTATCTCAGACTTTTAAAAAATACATTTGAGTGGATTTATACGTACAAATATAGTAGTATTAGAAAAATATAAATGGACTCATACTGTACTTACTGTTCTGTGATTAGCATATTAAAGGTAATTTAAAAATTCAAATGTATTTAAGAGGCATAGATTTTTGAGAAGGGAGTAGTTTCCGTAATCCAAAATTTTTCTCTACTTCCGCTAAGTAGTTTTCTAGGAAATAAGAAAGTGTTATGAAGACATCATTTTAGTAGTTAGTGGTAACAGAGGGAACCTTATCCCCAGGTTTTGTTTTGATAGTTATAGACCCATCATAAATGGCTCTTATGTTCATCATTCTTATTATAGATAATATAATTTAATTTATTCACACAGCATACATAATCATTTTATACTACAAATATTACTTTATAAAGTATTTTGGCATGCTTTAACCTATCTGGTATTTCTTTTTAAAGCTACAAAGTGTAAATGTCTTTATCATTATGTTACATTTATTGGCATGAATTCTCTTCTTCCTCTTGGGTTTAAGTTATATTTTTAGTTTATGGCATTAATTTTAATTAATGCCATAATTAATTAATTAATCTCGCTTCCAGTTGTTTTTATTAAATATTGAGCATGTATTCAAGATAGTTATCAGATGTATGTAAAATACAAATATCCAACTTCTCAGCTTGCATTGAGTGAAGAGAAATTGTCCTGGGCTGCGTATAAAATAAATATAGTTGAAGCGTATAAATAACAAAACTTTGTTATTTAATTACAATATTGAAAATAAAAGAGAGAGAAAATGGCCTACAGGCCACTGACTGGACATAGCTGAGCCAATGTGTCCCATCCAGTTTAAGAAATAGAGCTTTAATACTTATTACCTTTGAAGTTCTTTTTTAAAGTGCATTTTTATTTTTAATTGACACATAGTAATTATGCATATTTATGGGTATAGGGTGACATTTCAATCCATAGGTCATGTTTAGTGATAACTGACATGTTTACCA